AAGCCTTATCTAACCCTAAAAGGGTGCCACACCCTTCCCCCTTTTATTTCTTCTAGAAAACCCAAAATCAGCCACAAAACACCTAGTTTCTAGAAGGCCCAATTTTGGACGAATTTCCTAAACCTTTTTCCCTTTGGATTCTGATTTATTAGGCCTCATTCCTTATGGATTTGGGTTATATAAATCCTTTTATGAAACGAATTGGGCCAAACCCTCTCCTAAGTGGATTTAACTCACTTGTGCTAAACCCTAGGGCCCTAATCCAATAAAATCTGCTAAGTGTAACCCTAATCTAGTTAACCCTAGGACTATATAAACATAAAATCAGCCAAAAATTCGTACACCCCCTTATGCTATTCAGAAACCCTTGTGCTGCAACCTCCATTCTCCATTCTTAACCTCCATACACCTCTATACATCTTCCTACACATCTGCCGCACCTTCCCCACCATAATCAACCATCCTCCATCCCTCTAAACAAGGAAACACCATCCAAAACCCCCAATTCCACCACACACACTTTGTGCCGCAACAAGGAGGAGGAAGATGAGCCAATCTGTGCGTCGAATCCATCTTGGAATTGCTGAACGTTTAGGTGTAATCTTTCTTATGATTTCAATGTTTAAATTCAATACTTTTTGTTGTGCAAGCATGAGGAACTAATCCCCTTTTGGCTAGGGGGGAATTTCGAAACCATGGTTATAATTGCATGATGATTTGATTACTTTCAGTTGTGATTTCATGAATGATGAATTCAATTTACTTATCTGTTTAAATTAAAACTTGTTTATGTATATGAATTGAGAGTGCACACTTAATTTGCATGCATGAATATGATGCTAGGGTATAAGGAAACTTCACCTAATCGTTGGAAACTTATATTCATGAGTAGTTAAGATTGTTGGTCACAATTATGTTAAGTAAATTCTTGGCATAAGTATCATGCGCTTTCATAGTTACGAATGCCTCGTCAACACCTATGATTTCCATAGAACCTAATGATCTTTGATTGTTTTTCTATTATGCTCTTTCATATAGAGAACTTTTAAGGAATAATTTGATTGCAATGCGCTAATTCCATTCAATTCAATGACCTAAGGGAAATCTGAAAGTTAATTTAAGCGTACCTAATTAACTTGGGGTGTTGAGGTTCATAATTCATTGAATAAGCAACTGAAGATTATGTTGTATGCAAGTATGCCATGTGTGGAGAAAAACCTCCTAGCCATCTCACCATCCACTTAATTCTATCAATTTCGCCCAAATCTGCCTATTTTACATATTTGCTTTGTTTGTTTGATTTTCGTCAAAAACCAAATCCCCAAGTGTCTTAGAGTGTCTAATTGGTCCAAATATGTTTTATATTGTGTTCTTAAGAGTTTTGAGTCAAGTTAGAATCAATTTTCGTCCAAGTTTGTGTTTAGGCCCAAAACTGCCCAGATTGTGTTTTTAAGGCAGTTTTGAGTGTTTTTAGCCTATTTTGAGTTTTGTGAACGTGTTTGAGTCTTTTTAAGTGAGTTTAAGTGTTTTAAAGGTTAGTTTTATTTATTTGAGTCAATTTAGAGTGTTTAGCAAGCCCTCCTAATCCCCGGTGTAAGAACGATCCCTACTTATTTATATGCTACAATTGTCAAAAGAGGGTTAATTTGTGTGTTAAGTTAATTTTCACATCACTGCGATCACCAGAAACTGGGAAAAACTTCTAAACGTTATAACTCGTTCGTTTCTTCACTAAAATTCAAGAAATCTAAACCAAAATGAAGCTTATGATGAGAAGAACATAATCATACCACTTTAGGGACCTAAAACCTAAGGAAAGTCGAATGAAAAACCTTCGATATTCCGGCCAAACCTGCAACTCACTAAACCTGGGCTTCTCGATGTCCAAATCACTTCAAAATTACTCCCCGAGCTTCGTGAAGATGTTTTAAGGCTCTCTATAACCTTAAAACTCCTTGAAAACTTCACGATCATGAGTGCATGAACAATACCCAAAATCAAAGCTCGCGAGAAACTAGGGTTTTTGAAGGTTTCACGTTTAACCAAAGGTATGGATAAGTTCCTGGGCTTGCTAGGAGTTCAAAACCAACCTTCAAATCTTCGATCCGTGCATGAAATGATTAGTCCAAGGTTTGACCTTACAACTATACAGAAATGGAAGAAAATCCGAGAAAGATGAGAGAGAGGTCTGAGTGTTTGTGTGTATGGTACGTAGGAGTGTGTGTGTGTGTGTGTGGTCCAGCTTGATCACCAACCAAAAACCACAAAAAGCTAAGTTCTAATTGGGTCCAAAATATTAGGGACTTAACATAAATGGTCCACATCCAAAGTAAAACCACCCGACACCACAAACATTCAAGGGTACTTTAGTAATTTCACGCCAACGATACAAATATTTCGGGACGGGCTGTCACAGGTTGGTCTTATCTCTGGCTGCTACAAATGGATTGAAACTTAAGCAATTGGATGTTAAAAATACCTTTCTTCATGGTTTTCTTGAAGAAGAGGTTTATATGTCACAACCACAAGGTTTTCAGGATCCAATACATCCAGACTATATGTGTAAGTTAGAAAGATCTCTGTATGGTCTCAAACAAGCCCATCGGGCATGGAATGAGAGGTTCACAAAGTTTTTATTTTCTTTGGGATTCAAGTCATCATATTTAGATTTTTCTCTCTTTGTCAAGTCTGTTGGTACTGAAGTGGTTGTCCTTCTTTTTTATGTTGATAACATCATACTCATAGGAAGTTGTGATAGTTTGGTTCAATCTGTGATTGCTCTACTCACTCAGGAGTTTGATATAAAGGATTTAGGTCCATTACACTTCTTCCTTGGACTGCAAATTAAGTATCAGTCACAAGGGTTGTTTGTTCATCAAACCAAGTACATCAAGGAGATTCTACAAAAAGCTAATATGCTTAATTGTAAGCCATGTCATGGCAGCAATCATGTTGCCAATCCTAGATATTATCGAAGTCTGGTGGGTGCTCTGCAACACTTAACATTCACTCTCAACCTGATATAGCCTTTCTGTTAATCAGGTTTGTCAATATATGCATTCTTTTCTTGAACAACATTTTGCTGCAGTTAAAAGGATCTTAAGATATCTCAAAGGCTCAATGCACTTGGGGTTGTGTTTTACATCTGGTGCTATGTCTTTAAGAGCCTACACAAATGCAGATTGGGCTGGTGATCCCAATGACAGACGATCCACTACCGGCTTTGTGATTTTTCTAGGTTCAAATCCTGTTTCTTGGTGTTCCAAAAAGCAACATACTGTCAGTTGATCTTCTACAGAGGCAGAGTATCGAGCAATGGCTACTACCACAGCTGAAGTGGTATGGATTCAACAGTTACTCATGGATTTACATGTTCCTTGTGCTGATACACCGTTGATGCATTGTGACAACATTTTAGCCATGGCTCTTGCTACGAATCCTGTTTTACATTCTCTCTAGTTTAACACTTTCTCTCTCTCTACATTTGCTTTCTGCAATACATCATTGTTGACAAAAACGAGCCATCTGGCCCTTTGGCCCTCGGTTGGAGACGGAAGCAAATATGGCTATATATTGTGCATTAAAATATTAATATCTTGGAGGGTCAGAAGGCTAAAACGAGCCATTTGGCCAACCCTCGGTTGGAGATGGCCTTATGATCTCCTTTCATCTCTTCCTCTCAAAGTTTGTTTTTTGTCTTATTATCTCATAAAAAAATAAATAGAAAAAAACAATATAGGATGTTGACGTAGTTTAGTCGTAATTATTCAAGTAAAAGAGGAGGAAAAGGGAGAGAGATTATAAGGAGACAGAATCATCTTCCTGTTGACTAAGAGCCTCTCTAAATTAGATGTTAAATTGTCCAAATCAACAATAGCGATAACAAAAGACAGCATTAATGTTTTCCAACCGAGAAGCCAAATCTGATGTGGCATAACATGGATTGACATCTCTCCCCCTTACTACCAAATTTGACAGCACCTTCAGATTTTTTTAATTAATTATTGAATAATTTTTATTAATTTTTTATTGGTTTAAAGCATTATCCTTTTGTTTATTTTCATTCTCAATGCAAAGTAAATACATATGAATTATTATTTTATGTTTAAAATTTGACATATCGATTGGAGAACAAAAGTTTAAAAATATCAAAGTACCACATCTGGGTAGTTTAAAATTTGACATTTCTTTTAGAAATTATCTAAAAAAAGCTAAAAGATGTCGATTTTTTAAACCAAATTTATAAACAAAATAATATGATTATTCATAATTAAATTATTATTTAACGATTGATTAACGTGTTTATTTTCTATCGATCTAAACAATTTGAAATTTTAGTCTGGCCAACGTTATCTTATTTTGAGAAGAGGATGCATGGTGGAGGTAAAATGATGTGGTATGATAAAAAATTTAGGCTTACGAGCCATGGGCAGTATGATTTAGCTTTACTTGGAAACCGTATCCGTCAACACTGACAACACCCACACACCGTCAGATAAATATAAAAATTTAAAGCCCTCTCTGACACACCTCAGCTGGCACCCCGCTGTCTCCAATAAACCTGTCTGTCCCTTCTCCTTCCCCACTCTGACAATTCGTATTCCCGCCTTTTCCCCCCTTCCATTCTTTCTATTCCTTAAATTATTTAACCTTTCCCAACTTTTCATACTTTCAGCTGTTTTTCCAATTCATCTTTTTTTATGTAAATACGCTCCAATTATTATTTACTACTTCTCAATACAAAACTAAATTAAAAATTCGAAAACCTATATTATTCAAATATAAAAAATACAAAAACAAGACCACCATCGCAGGCACTGCACGAGACACACAAGACGTATTTATTGTCACACATGGATAATACTCTATAATTTTACTTGAGTTTTGAACCCCACACCTACGAAAAAATAAATTATTCATTCAAAATGATTGGTGCGTTATTTAAGCAAAATTACAAAATTATCCATAAATCTCATAAAACTAAGATGAAAATAACTAAATCAATAAAGAATGGGTGTTTTATTTTTACTTTTTCTATTTTTAATAATTAAACTTATTTACAGTATTTGTTTCGGGTACATGTACATGAGTATTAACCGTACTACGCTGCCATCTTCCGGCCAACCACGTGGAACTCGCCACCTGACATTCGTGGGTCCCACCCACCTCGCAATCTATAAAAGATACCCGTCTGTCTTCCGGTACACCACTTGCCAAGCGCATCCATCGGCTGGCAGGCTGTTTCAATTCTCCTCTCAAAATTCCAATCGTCCACGCGTCGTTGCGTCACTGGTTCGAAACCCTTGACCGCCGGTGTGACCTGCCCAGCTTGGTCGCCAGAGCGGAAAGAACGTTCCACGTGGCGTCGCCTTCGTGGACCCGGTCGTTGAACAGTAGGGCACCTCGAACGCGCGGGTCCCGCAACTTCTTTTGAATGGAAGTCAAGTTGGTCGCCGCCACGTGTTCGAGTATCTCCGCCAATTTTCCCACGTCCTTCTCCGCGACGTTCACCGATATCTCCGCCCACGGAACGACGTTGTCGAACGGCAACCGGATCCCGTCAGCTATGATCACCGGCACGCAGCCCAAAGCGATTGATTCTACCAGCCTCGGACTCCACGGGGCCCACCCTAGAGGACACAGACAAAATTTCGACCGCGCGATCTCCGATTGGTAACCGTCGAACCGCTGCCTCTGCAGGTAAAACCTCCGGTCGCCGTTATACTTCCGCCATAGCTCCGTCCTCACCCGCCTTCAAAAATAATACACCAAGGGCATATCAGTAAATTTAAACGAAAATCTAATAATTAAGACTCTGATATGTCGATTTACTTGATTAATTACTAAACAATTATTACTTGCTGTAAAATCGGCCGCTGACGTTCTTGGGGTGGACCTCCATCTTCCCTCGGAAGAAGACGAAGATATCCCGTCGGCCGGTTATCGGAAAGTTTTCCAGCGTCGCCCGTACTTTTTCCGGGGAGACGTACGGCGGAATGACCACATTCTCTACCTCTTGACATGGGTGGTGATGCGTCACGCCGAACGTCTGCAATACGATCGAGTTCTTCAAAAATGCGGGTATCCCATCCGAAATTGCCACGTCCTCCTGAGGAAACGCGAAGCCAGACAACGTTGTCAAAAACCCAGAAAATCCGAAAAAAGAAAAGAGGTTTTTTTTTCCTGGGAGGCTACGTAATTAATTACCATGGTGTGGAAGCAAGAACCGAAATCGTGGGCGGCGACGAAGACGTGGTCGGCGCCGTGCGTCCGTTCCCAGAACGGGTATTCCGCCCGGACTAAGTCAATCGCGGAGGCAATGAGATTTCGGGCGTGGCCGATCGCCGGGAAGCCATTGACGGTGCTGAAGTTACAGGACACGTAGACAGGGACGAAGAAGAAGTCCGCTTCATAGGGGTCAACGGTCAACGCGTCGCTGGTCAGCAGGGCCCGGTGAATGGCAACCTCGGAGGCGAACAGGTGGGAGCTGCACCTCTCATTTTTTAGCCAATCCGTGTTGTATTTCGGCGGCAAATCGTAGACGTAAACCCTTAATCCGTCGAACAATGTGCCTGAACAAAAACATGAACAATGCATCAGAAACTACAAATTCGTCAAATGTATCAAACATTAGAAAAAAGTAAAACATGGGTGTTGTTCCTCGCACCTTGTTTTGTTGCGTTGTTAATGGTGGCGGATTCGATAAGGGCGCGGGCGGCGAAGGTGGAGAAATGGGTTGTGGAGAGGGAGGTGGTGGGTTTGTTTTGTTCTTCGTTGTGGTTGCTGATGAGGAAGGAGCTGAAGAAGTAGAGGGAGAGGGAGAGCCAGAGGACCCATTTGCAATATCTGTAAAAGAAGTTCTTTTTTTCCAATTGGGGAACTAGTCTTCCTCCATTTTTGGTGGTGGGCAGGAGCTTCATCCTAACATAGAAGCCTGTGGCTCTTGGGGCTCTCTTGATCTGCTGCTGCAGCTCCACCATCGCATTTAAAAACCCAGAAAATATTCAAGTTTTGATGTGAAAAAATGGAAGGGTTTAAGTGGTTGGGAGATGGCTTTCGGTTCTTGGTGTGGTGATGAGTGGAAACGAAGGAATAGTGATGGGATTGGGAGATTAGTAGTGGGTTTGTTGGCGTTTCGTTTTTGGAATTGGACTAAAAAAAAAAAATACAAAGAAACAGTAAGGGGAAAGTTCAAATCTTTGATGAATAATTGGAATTGAAAAATCGAAACAATGATAAAATAAAAATAAAAATAAAGAATTAATTATGGTGGGTGTGTGGAGTTGCAGACAGGGATCAGAGAGGAAGGGCTGGGTTTCAGAGGGTCACATGGTGGAAGAAGAGCAGAAGAATGGACCTCGGCGATGGTCTCGGTACGCAATAAAATGCTCTCCTTAATTCATTTTGGTTGCCAGGTCAAATGACGATATTGCCCTCCGTTTTGTGTACCTCAAAACTTGCACACTTTTTAACTTGTGCTGTAGCTATGTTTTGTTTTCTCTCGTGTTATCCGATAATCCAGTCTGTAAGCATCTATTTAATCACCCTTATCAAGGACTCCCCGTTCATTAGGTTAATCAGTTTAGGCATATCGTCCATGGTGCCTTATCTCGAGAAACAAACAGACATGACATTTCGTTGAAAAATACACACTTAAATTGAACTCGATGTCAATTATAGAATTTTTTTTTTTTTTTCAAATATCGTATTATTAAAACAGAACGCTTTCTAATTGAAAGGGGAATTTTGGAGAATAAATTGAGGTTGGAAAAGTTTGATAACGTGGAAGCATTGAAAAAGAAACATTTTAGGGCAAAATGGAGCACTTGATAAAGTAGCTTTGAAAGGTGATAATGGTGAGGGAGCTTGCAAAGGTATTAACTATGAGATGAAAAGAGAAGGAAAAACTAGTTATGAAAACTAGGATGGAATATGAGAGTGCCAGAAAATCATTAAAATTGGAATTCCATGGCAATTCTTTGCATAATTAATAAACCATGCCAAAGGAGGTTAGTGGTGGTTTGTGTTAATTTTCTACCACAAGTTCTATGCGGATTTGCTAACAATTACCCATTCCGTTCGTGTCACGGTTGGAAACGTATTCTATGGATGAATGGTTAGTGCACTACATGAAAATTGACTTTTCTTTTTCTTTTTGTTGTTTGGAATTTTAAGCACGCTAGAAAATACTACGCATTAAATAATAATCATATCGCATAAAAATTGATAACATATTAAAATAACGGCCAAACCAACCAAATGATTTGGCTAAGATTTTGAATAATATTAAGTTTACTACATATTTGTATCATCTTTCAAATAGAAGTAGGACACACAACACATGTGAGTTCAATCACTATTAGAGAAATATTACAAATATGTGGTATGAGTAGCATTTTTGTAAGATTTTATACTGAACAACGGTAATCCTAAGTTGAATCACAAATTGCCAAAACACGTATGCTCGTTTTATTTATTTTTATTTTTGCACACTTAAATTTTTTTTTTTATTGATTATCATAAATAATTTTTTTAAAAAATAAATGATATTATTTGTACTAAGGAGAGAGGATGAGCTTAGCCTCACAATAGGCCAGCAATAATGTAATTCAAATTCGCCTTTAGCGATAAGCGAACATAAAACGTCTCACTTACAAGTGAAAAAAAAATATTGTTAGACAATTGTACTAAATGGTTATCGTAAACTATTAACATGTTTATTTATACGACTCAAACGTTGGAATTACAAGTCTTTCTAATATTCGTTCTCAGCTATGTTTTTCGAAGGAAAGCCTTCAAACTTGAAGAAACATGAGCTTGCAAAGCGGTAGCTTTCTTATTGCCTAATTCATCAACCATGTTATTGATCAATGCATTCGTCTAATAATGCTTGATGCTTTTATCTACTATCCACTTGATGCCTCATGTTTAAGCATGCTTTGCATGGTGCCCATCTAAACTAAGGGTTTAATTTGATGATGTTTTTTTTTATGAATTGTTGAATATGGTGTTGGTTTAGTTCATGATTATATTGATTGTCGTTTATGGTTTTGCTATCAAGTAGTTAAAGTAGTTTTTTCATTTGAATAACAGTTTGCTTGATGCTTTGGCGATTCATTTTCGAAAAGAATAAAAGATGATTTGGTGATAGAGAAGGGTATACACAAGTTCTATTGACATTCCCATATTTTTGGAAGATCATAATTTTATTGTAAACTTGAATCTTTATGCAGTTTGTAGGATACAAATAATTGTGTTAATATTTGTAAAATTATATACTTTTATTGAATTTTGTTGCAACCCGAAGCATCGCATGGATGTTGGAGAACAATTCAGAAATAAACAAAAATAACATAAATAAACAGAATTTGAAATTCTAATATTTTATTTACCAAATATACTTGATGTGCAGAATGAAATTATACAATAAATACATAAACTAATATAAAAATACAATGATACTAACTTGATCACAGAAGGTAGAGGCTAGCGTAAAAGCTATGTCCTTCCAACAGTATTTCCGTCCCACTCTTGTGCTTGTGGTTCTACAACGTCTGCTCGACCAGGATACAACTACCAAATTCTACAACCCGCACTGGATTATAGAACTCTAGCGAATTGCTTTGTGTGTTTACTCTCTGGAAATTTTGTACGGAAGATAAGGAGGGAGAAAAGATGATTCTCACTTGGATATTGTGATTGCAAATATATAGGTTGTTTCACACCCTTTCAAATACCTGTTCAGTGTATTTGAAAGCACACAACTCTTTCTAGTAGCTGTGTCTTTTAATCAAAAAGTACAACTCTTTCTAATAGCTGTGTCTTTTAATCAAAACGTTTTTTAATTAATAAATTAATTAAAAAACTTAATCCGAAAATTAAAATTAATGAATCTGATTAATTTTAAATTCCAAGGCCCCAAGGCCTTGTCTTGATTAATTAATATTAATTGTATTTAGGCTATATTATATTCAAGCCTAATCCACACAACCATAAGGTCCAAGCCTTCAATCCATTTTCAAATGGTCCAAGTTCTAATTACTAAGAAAATAGAATAAGCCTATATAAAGGCTTGTGAAAAAATACTATTGACCAATATGGGACAAAAGAATCTCAAATTCCAACAATGGACACTATTGGTAGTCTAATCTAAAGCTCCTTTCCGGCATGCTGGGTCATTCATGAGGAATATCATGTATTCTTCTAATTAATTCACATATGTCGTATGAACCCACCGCCATCTTTAATTAAATGTTACACCGCAACATATAGCCCACACACTTCATCACTTCATGCCCTACCTTTAATAACCATTGACACAAAATAAAAAAGACACCTAATTTTCACACACTATTTTGTTTTTTCACAATTTTTTTTTGGGATTTCTATTAGCACTCCAAAAATTTCATTCTACACTCATCACAAGTGTATTTTTCTTTCTAATTATAGAAAGTTTGGAGTGCCAAATGAGATTTTTGGAGTGTTTATAACAATTCTATTTTTTTTATTGCCTTGTGTTTCGCCTCACCAAGGTTGGCTTTCTACTGCCAGTAGTTTTCGTTAATGCGCGATCCGTAAATTTATATCGTCACACCTGACAGTTAAGTGCTACACATAAGTCTTTTCAACTTAAAGTTATGAGTACACACTGACGATGATGAGAATAACCAAAATTTCCTTGAACTTTCATCAACCAAAACAAACGATACTAATTAAAAGTGTGCGAAAAACTAAATAAAAAACTGTATGACTATCATTTCTCGTCAACAAAACTCAGTCGGTTTTGATCGAGACTGGAGTTCCACCATCTCGTGCACGGCAAGCTACCAAGCTGTGGGTTCGAAATTTGGTTACGTGCACTAGCAAAAAGAAAGCTAATAATGAATAGAAAAGAAAAAAAAAATAGATGAAAACGAACTAAAAATGCAGCAACATAATTATGCCGTATTTGAATAGAGGATTCGGACCATTCCCAATAAAAATTGGATAATTTGGCGTCATAATACTCCATTAATTATGCAGAGTACTTGTGTAAGTTGCTAAGCCACACTCCTCATTGGTATTGGTTTCACTGAGCTTTCACAAGAAGTTGTTATCATTCAAGTGCTTAGTGGGCATACAACATACGTAAGGATGCAGCATAACCACATTTTGAAGAATTTAGAAGACACCTACCATTCGATACAAAAATAAAAGGATAATATTTCTCTCTAACAGGCAAAGTCTTCATCTCTTCGTAATGTACTATAACTTTGTTGTACACACCTCATGATCAGAACAGCTTATTATTTTCTTTATCATCGTTAATTAAGCATATGTGTCAGAAAAGATCTGGAAAGTTATAGTAATAAATAGTATCCTTATGACAAACTGTCAATTTCTTTAAATGGGATCTATACCAAAGGACTTTTTTTTAAATATCCTTTCTCGTTAAATAATTACAAAAGAAATGAATATTTTCAGTCATAATATTTGTACGGTAAAAATAATGTGTTTGTAAGTTTTTTCTTTTGTTCAGAAAAATAAAATAAGTTAAAAACAACTCAATAAAACTGTCGTATCAGATCTATTGGGGACCCATAATCTTGTGGGATTTGGGTAACTGTCCAGCTTAAGCTAAGTTGGGTTTTAGATAAAAGTGGATGCTGTCTTTTTGGTACTTAATAATTAAGGAAAGGCATTTTGAAAATGGAGGCAACATAGAATATAATCTCGAGCTGTGCATGCATGATTTGGTGGAGGCTTTGCAAAACACAGTGAAAGATTCTGTGTTAGTCAAAAGTTTGCCTACAAAAAGATACAAAGCGTTCGTGTGATAGATTTGCATCGTCTGTATTTTTGTACCAAATAACAACTGGTCCACTTAGTTTTGTTAAGCAATGAGATGGAAAACGTCTACCTTGCTGCCTCATCGTATATAAGTGCTTTGCGCTTAGTATAATTTTATAAGTATTTGTTCTTAAATACTGGCTTAACTGGAGTTTTGATTTTTGAATTAAGGATTTGTGAGTATTGATTTTTAAATACGTCACAATGTGAGCAATGAACAAAAGGATCATCATGCATCCAAGAGTTTTGGGCTTAGTGTAATATCATTGCTCATGACATTTCTCTTATTCTTTTTAGTAACTTCGTTAGACCTTCTCTCATTTACTTTTAGATACCTTTATTTTGGATACAAAATGATCATTGCTTTAGAGTGTGGCAAGTTCAAGGAGTGAAGCACCATTTGGATCAAAATTCAAAGACAAATGCTCCAAATTTCTCAATTTCCAAATAAATGCCCATAAATTGGTTAAAATCCAATATGTTACTGTTAGCCACGAGATAGGATTTTTT